AGTTTTATTACTAGATATTACTAAAAAAAAAACTCCTTAAATTTGCAGAATGGGTGCTAAATTTGTAAATAATTCTAAGTTCGTTGCCCCTCCCCCTCTCCCTCCACACATACACATTCAATATGGGGTGTGTTGTACCTGGCCACGGCTCATTATTATATATGCATTGCTTTAACTATTTCTAATTAAAAGTATTATATTTATCAGGGGCGGATCCAGCATTTTTTGATGTTTGAGATGGTTAACATTCTGACATTAAACAAACTCCAAAAACTTATTTGGTTATACTTACCCTAGTAGCAAACAATATTGGCGCAATATTGGGGCGATATTGTTTACAATATTGGCGCAATATTGTAAACTATATCAGACCAATGTTGCAATGTGAACATTTTGCCAATATTGGCGCTACAATATTGCGCCAATATTGTAAAGTTAATATTGGCGATACAATATTGCACCAATACTGTAAAGTCAATATTGGCCAATATTGGCAAAATGTTCACACTGCAACATTGGTCCGATAGTAAAGAACACACAAAGAAACTAGTATCTAGATAATAAATATTATATATACACTATATAACTTGTTATAACGTCTTAGTAATAGCTTATTACTAGTTATAACGTCTTAGCAATAGCTTATTACTAGTTATAACGTCTTAGTAATAGCTTATTACTAGTTATAACGTGTTAGTAATTGCTTATTACTAGTTATAACCTATTAGTAATAGGTTATAACTAGTTATAACCTATTAGTAATAGGTTATAACTAGTTATAACCTATTAGTGAAAGTAAAAAACAAATAAGAATCTAGTAGTCATCCAGTTTAACAACTTCTAAAAAACATTCAAATAATTACTTAAAATGTAAAAAACTAAAACCATTTTAACCATTTTTTGTTTATATTTCATTTATTTACTTTATTTTAATTGTAGTTTTACAATGAATTAATTGTTTAATATTGCTTTTTATACAATTTATGTACCTTTTAGCTTTTAACTACCCAATGGTCTGTGCTAGAAGGTTAATAACACAACGGTTGTGCCTAAACGGTTGTGCCTTTCTATTTTATTTGGAAGGTGGCCATTTATTGAAGCAAGCAATCTTTGAAAACACCTTTTAACCTCTTTGCTTATAATAACAACACTTATGGTTGGTTTAATCAAGCCTCCTCTGTCTTGGAATTTTTAAAAGCTATAAAAATTCTAAGATCATAAAAATTTATAAAATTGTTTAACTGCAACATACAGTTCATTAATATAAAATTCAGCAAACTATAACATATAACCATGAGTAACATATAAAAACTATAACATTTAACCATAATATTTAACAACAGGTAAACAGTATATATAACTTTAGTTAAGGAGATATTTAAGAGATGTTTTGAATATTTCTATATTAAAGATTTAGTTTATACTTTTTTTCAAACAAATGTATTTTTACATACATTTGCATCCTCAATTGTATTGAGTGATTATCCTTTAAATTATAAGAAATGATTATTTACTTTTTTATTTGCTTTAAAAGTTGTTATAAACAACTATAGTTCAAACCTGTTTTGTTTTTTTTACCAGTATAAGTGACATTTTAGAATATTTTCTTCAAATAATTTATGCAATAATAGCACATAAATATAATATAATTCTAGAAGGAATCCCTTAGTTTTTGTGTACTTAGTTAATAGGCCATGCAGCATTTGTACAAAATGGTATCTTGCTACAAAAATCAGAGAATATAGAATTGTAGGTAGATATAATTGCTGCTTACCATGCTATTATGTTATTAACCTTCTAGTATACAGCATTGAGTAACTAAGAACTAAAAGGTACATAAGTTATACAAAAAACTAAAATTGTAAATTTAACTAATGCCATTTAATAATAAATTCAAAAAGATAATTTTTTTTTCATTAATAATTATAAAATTTGTTTTTTTTCTTCTAATTTTTACAAATTTACTAGTCTTATTTAATTATTTTATTTTGAATTTTGATAAAATAAAATAGAATGTATGTCGGTTTCACAGCTAGTAACTAAAATCGCCGCCATCTTGGAAGGCCAATTTGGCTTCAACTTTTTTCGAAAAAAACAATAGAATCCGCTTTCCAGTTATATTTTGAGATCAGTTAGTACAAAATCATTCAAAAGACCATTATCCAAAGTGTTACCATTTTAAAATAAGACAAATGTCTTGTCTTATTTTAAAATGGTGACCACGTGACAATGAGTTAATAATCGATGTATCACTTTAAAAATTTGGATAAGATCGCCTCGTAGGCGCCGAAACTCAAGTGATGGTAGATTTTGTCTTTTTAGTCTATCGTAGTATTTCTCGTAGTATTAGATTTCTCAAGCTTAAAGCCTGTTTGTTTACGTTGAACAGATTCAATCAAAGCTACGTCAAATTTTAAATACGGGTCCCAAACAGACACTGCATATTCAAGGTGTGGTCTTATAAACACTTTATAAAATTTGAGAGCTATTTTTTCATCAATGATGGTGAATCTCTTTTTTAGCATACCAAGAATTTGTAAAGATTTGGAGACAACTGATTGAACATGTGTGCTCCACTTAAGGTTAGATATAAAAATGACTCCTAAATCGCGCTCTTTAGTAGAGCTTTTTAGGCTTTCATTTATACCTTGGTTATTTTTCAAAAAGTAACTGTACATAGAATTGGTTTTACCATAATGGATAAGACAGCATTTTGAAATGTTTAATTTAAGTAACCAAGTATTTGACCACTCGTATACTGAGCGTAAACGATCCTGCATATCAACAAAATTATTCTGCGATAAAGTTTTAGTATCGTTGGCAAATACTTTAGAAGTTTCAGTAAGTTGGGCAAGATCGTTTGTAAAAAGAATAAAGACGAGCGGGCTGAGAAAAGAACTTTGAGGAACACCACTTTTTTAATCTTGGGGATAAAAATTTGCAAGCAGTACGATAATAAGAAATTAATTTATTAAACATTTGATCCGCATTTTTGTGTAGAAATAAATATCCAATCGATTATATGAAAAATAATAATAAATATCCAATAAATAAATATCCAAATTGATTAATGCAATAAAGTTTGATATTGAATTATAATCACCTTTGTTGTAACTAAACAATTAAGATTCGTTTTCGGGTAGCTGTTCTGAAATTAAGATTCTCCAAGTAATACTATAGTGATCCTTAGTGTTATTACCTAGTATAGCATATTTAAGATATACCCAGTATAGTATATTTAAGAAAATATATAAAAAAATTTTAATATATTTTCTTAATTAGTATAAAGTTTTTTTTTAAATATTTCTAAATATTTTTTAAGAAACTCAGATGAATTTACTGAATGCAGCATAATTTGGAAAAATTTAAGAAACTTTAAATACCTTTAGAAATTCTTCCAAAAGCATGTTTTTTTTTAGAGAATTGTTATTTTTAAAGGATTTTTTAAAAAAGCGTTTTTTATTCTTTTAAAAAGATTAAAAAAATCAGATTTTTCTAATTTGGTCGTTCGTAGTCGTTTCTGTGTCGTTTAATGACACATTCAATAATTTTACTGATTGAATTTTACTTTTTAAATAAATATTAAGAAAACAACTTCAAATATTAAAATACCTAAATATAAAATTACATCTAATTTTTACTTTTCTCCATAAGTTATCAGCTCCAACATAGTTGATTTCATTGTTTCTTTACACCTTTTTCCAATCGCAAGTGTTTTATTTTTTGTAGTAAATGTATCAATTTTTAACAGATTGTGGAGAAACATTTATTTTTCTCATCATTTTTTTCTTATTTGAATAATTTCAGCACAAAAGTAAAGTTGTCATTGATAGTATATATATATATATATATATATATATATATATATATATATATATATATATATATATATATATATATATATATATATATATATATATATATATATATATATATATATATATATATATATATATATATATATATATATATATATATATATATTACAGGGTACCTTGATGTGTACGCTAACTTTCCGTATAAGTGACGTTCTTGGGACAGCTAGGTAGGCATTATAAGGATCCGTGCTAACCGTGTTTCATGCAAGTCATAAAACAATAATAATTTCTTAGTAAATTTGTTTTATCAAAACAATTCATTGACTGCACGAGTTTTCAGTTTGCAATTAGAAAAATTCGTAATAAGAAATTAAAATGTAAAATCCAGAAACTTGTTATCTAGTCACAAAGTTACATGACCATGGCAAGATGAATTTATATGCGTTTTCTGTTTCCAGTTCTATAACATTTTAAAAACTCTACAAAGTAACACAAAATAAACACGCCTCACAAAAAAATATCCCTAAAAAAGTTATACCTGAGTAACACCACCCAGTAGCAATAATTGAAAACGAGATATTTAACTGCATAAAACAAAGTTTAGCTTATAAAGATCCGTTAACAATATTTAAAAAAACCACTTGGTGTTTTTATATTAAAAAATTATAAATACAGTTTTATTTCCATAAATTTTTTATTTTTTTTGTTTTGAGTTGTTATGCGCCATCCTCCATCTTGACCTGTGTTTTCCTATATTTAATTTTTTTAAGAACTTGACTTAGTACTTTGTTCTATTACAATACAGTATTATTGCTAGAAATGGAAATGATATATTTATTTATTTTTTTAATTCTAAACAACCGAGAGGAACAGAGATTTTGAACTTTTCGCTTTTGAACTTCCCCTTTTATGACTACCCCTCTTAATGACAACAATCTGGATTCGCTACTAATATGGAATTTTTATTATATGCATCATAGACTTTGATCTGCTTTGTAATTGCTGCACATAAAATGCCTTTAACAATTTCTTTTATATCAACAACAACATTTAAACGAAAAAAGTAAAAATATTTTTTCCGATGAGTCAAGCTTATTTTTAGTAAAAATAACTAAATATAATTTGTTTTAATGTCACACATGTCAGACAATAGCCGTATATATATAAATTAATATTTTTCATAACTATATTTAAAAAATATTTACAGTTCGTTATAAAAGAAAAATTGTAATGTAAAAATATATATATATATATACTTTATTATATTATACTGTTTTTTTTTAAACAGCAAAAAAGGGTTTTAAAGACTCGAATATTAATTTTGCCATTGTTTCATAACCAAGAGGCTTAAGATGAAGACCACCCTCAAAAAATTGGGCTAATAACTTTTGATTGTTTTTATATCTTCCTAACATGTTTGCTAAATCACAAAGAATTACATCACCCTTATGATCAAATGCGTAGTTGCGTAAATTTTCGTTTAAGGTTTCCCGTATCTGCTTCATGTCTGAACACATTTCAATGGATTCACAAAATACTTCAGGAACAGTTACAACAACTGTGCGGCAGTTATGATGCAGAGCTATATTATGGATTGATAACAAGTTTTGCGTTAACTCTGTAGCAGAATGACGTCCAGCATGCTTTGTATTGTAAATATCGTTGGTTCCACCTAAAATAATTACCCAATCGAATTTCTTTTCTAAAAAAAAAATTACTCGAAATAGAATTATAAAGTAAATTAAAAAAATATAAAAAATTATAAAAACAAGATTAATGAAATTTTAATAAGTACTCGAGTTGTTAAATATTTGTTCCATTCTTTTAGGCATTTCTCCAAACGCAATTTCTCCATCGCGACCTTCGTTTTCCACAATAAAACACTTTTTTTTATCTAATCTATTAAGTAAATATTGCAGTTTCATAGTATAAGGATGGTGGTTTTTTCCTTTGTTGTAATACCCTCGTGTAAGAGAATCGCCAAATGCGAGTATGTTTACAACTACACTCGTACCTTAATATAAAAAAATTTAGGATAATTTTTAATTTGTCAACAGCTGTTGTAAAACTATAGTTTATATTGTTGTAAAAAAATAGTTGTTGACGGCGGATTTTATTGATGGGTTAAAATGGCTGGTTTAATGGACGGGTTCAATTGGGATTCATAGAAAAAATTTAGGGAAGTATTTGCTGAACAATAGCACATATTACTCAATTTAAATCTTTAGAGAATTGTTTGAATTTTAATATCTTATTGAAATCCATAAAAAAATTTGACTAAAAAAAATTTTAAATTATTTAGTATCACCTAAAAAAATATTTAGTATTATCCAAAAAAGAAATATAAAATCACCTTTTTCTTGTTTACAGGTATTTTCTATCTCCTCAACGGAATCTAGAAATATTAATGAGCCTTGAAATAAATTTTGAAATATAAAATTTAACATTAAACATAATAAATATGAAAAATATAAATACAATATATTTTAAACACAAAAATTAATTTTTAATTTTTTGTGTATTTAAAGAAAATGATTTAAATTCTCTTTTTTAACTCCTTATATCCATTTTCTATTTTAAAACTTTAAACTAATTATGATGCAATCTTTAATTAAATCGGTTACTTATTTATAGATACATATACATACATACACACATACATACTACATACATACATACACACATACATACATACATACATACATACATACATACATACATACATACATACATACATACATACATACATACATACATACATACATACATACATACATACATACATACATACATACATATATATATATATATATATATATATATATATATATATATATATATATATATATATATATATATATATATATATATATATATATATATATATATATATATGTACATATATATATATATATATATATATATATATATATATATATATATATATATATATATATATGTACATATATATATATATATATATATATATATATATATATATGTATATATATATAAGTTAGAAAAAGTAATAAAATAAAAAAATTGGTAGGAAAACATGTCTAACCAGTCCAATACATGTCTTCCATACTCATAACGTCAACGTCAGCGTCGTTTGATGAGCTTAAAGATTTTCCATTATTTGAAAATTCTCCATGGATTTGAGTTGCAAACGATTTGTTTGCATCCAACTGAAAAGAAGTACGGTCAACCTTGTAAACGGGTCTTGTTGGAAAATAAAGACTTTTTGTCGAGTGTTTTGGTTGGCCAGTGACAAACTGACTAGGATGTGTTCCTTGTTCATTAATCAAACTGTTCATTTCATGATGACGAATTAGAAATGGTTTTGGACTTGGAAATATAACATAATTTGATTTCTGTTTTGAAGTTGATAATGCAACCTTCATTTTAGATGTTGTCAAATAAAAAGTTGAATGTGTTGGACTTCTGCTTGGGTTTTCTGAACTAAAAGAGTAAAAGTCATTAGTAAAATTCGGAATATATTCGTGAGGTTCATTTAGCTTTAAGCTGTAGAAACGATTAGCTTGGTCAGACATAACTGTTATAGGTTTTTTAGGTTGCACTAACAAGTGAGAACTATCTTTTAAATCATAGTTATCATTAAAAAAAGGAGAAGATCTGGCTTGAGAATATCTCCCTAGCGAATTTTCTTTTTCCAAATACTTATCAAGGGGCATACTATCTGAATCTTCAAATGGTCCGTAAACATCTGCTTTTATTAAATTTGAAGGCTTATTAAAAAAAGTCTTATTTAAAGAAGAATGACTACTGTTTTGAATACGATGCATATGTAACGAGTTTAATATTGGGTTTTCACTGTATTTTATAAAAGGAGATTTTTTGGGTAGGTTTTCAAACGAAAGTTCGTGAAATTGCCGCTTAACACCTGTCCTTTGTAAGTATGGTGCTGTAGGTTTATAGAAAGTGATTGGGGTAGATATAGCCGGGTTTAGTACTTCAAATAAATAACTAGGCGGTTTTTTTGGAATACCAGTGAAAGACTCAGAACTTATTGTTTTATCGATGGTTGGAATAGCGCTAAATAAAGTTTTCTCTGACTTGAACTGAGTTGTGTTTTCAATAAACTCAGCGCGATCTAATAAAAAAGATTCGTTTTTTATTTGTGTAGTATTTTGTTTCTTTATACTTTTTATTAGCGATATTTCTGATAAGTTAGATTTTGTAAAATTTTCAGAAGAATTGTTCTCTATATCTTTGAAATAATATTTCTTATTCAAAAAGCTATTTTCTAAATTTCTTTGATTGTTTTGCTGATTGTAGTTTATTTCTTCCTGTTGAGAATTGATTTTCTCTAAACTTTCTGGACCTTTAACAAATAAATGGGCAAGTGTATTGTTTCTTAAATCATTCTTAGGTCCATAACTATCATCGTCATCTTCGTTACTAACGTCACCATCGTAACCGATTTTACTTGTAAATGGATAATAATTTCTTTGCTGAGTTTGGTCTTCAGTGAGCATGTCAATTGATTCATGGCTCGGATTTATGGTGTCAGATTCGTGGCGCATATTTGCAATGTCATATTCATGATACATGTTATTTAAAAATAATTGTCGGATAGGCGAGTTAAATTCGATTGTTCTTTCTGCCGTAGGAAACCATTTATCTTTTTTTTTAAGATGAAAACGTTTTCTTCCGATTGTTGAATACTCGTTGTTTATAGTTCTATTAGACTTTGAACTTTCATTCGGAATAGTTTTACGTGATGCATATTTTTCTTTTGATTGTTGATGGCGAATGTTCTTTGTTTGTCCCCCTATTGTTGTTCGATCATACAAAGCTCTCTGAGTTGAATTAGAACTCATCTAAATCGTACAAAGGAGATAAAACAATCTTCATTCTTTCTTTTTTTAAACTTAATAGAAATATATTATCCAATTGTTATAAAGACTTATCAAAGCATTGAATACTTTGCGGTAATTATTATTAAAGCTGAAGGTATTTAAAGCTGAGGGGGTTTTAAAGGATGACCAAAGAAAAAAAAGGTAAAGTTCATTTATTTTCTTTTTTTAATAATTACCTCATCACCTATTACTGGAGTCAAGTAATCATCTTGTTGCTCTGACTTTGTGATATTGATATCCTCTGAATCCATTTTTTTTGAAAACTCATTATGAAGTGTACTATTGTATTTTCGATCGTATCGATTGCTCAACAAAGCTGATTCTGTTTCGTCGTTATTCGTCAAAGAAGACATAGGCTCATGAAATGAATAACTCATTGTTGGTGAGCTTAACTGCTTTTGTCGAGATTGTTCTAAGCGTCTTAGTGTTAAAAGACGCTCTTTTAAATTTTTCAATCTTTGTATTTTTTTTTTACGTACCATATCTTGCAACACTAAAAACAAAAGCCGTTCCCTCTGTTTTCTACGGATTTTTTGAAGTAATGCTATTTTATTATCGCCGTATAAACCAGTATTGTATTTGATTTCAGGATACAAAACATCTTTATCGTATTGTCCATTGTCGTAAAATCCATCAACAAATTCTTAAATTAAAAACAAAATAATAGTTATTTGTATGTGTATATTATATATTAAAGTAATTTAATAAACTGTAAATAATAATATCTTAAATAAATCATTTCGTTGTCAGTTTTAAAAAAAACTTCATTAAAGTAAACAGTCTCAAATCAAAATAAAATCAGTAGTATATTAAATAATATAATGAAAAAATTGTAATAAAAAGTATATAAATAAAATTAATTTATTGTTTTTTTATTTAAATTAGTTTACTTTGATCTTTTACAGTTTAATGTAAAAATATTGTTATAAATATATTATATATATAAAAAGTTTTAAATATCTTTTTACTTTTTTGTTGTCAGTAATAAGTTTGTAAAACAAAAATCAGTTGCTCAAATTAGAAATAATAAAAATTAGTTTTAGCAAATCACATTTGAAATAAAGAAATATTTAGAATCTTTTCCATAGCAAAGATTAGATAAAGTAGATTAATTAAAGAAAAATTACTTGGAGAAAAACTTGAAATGTTTGAGGAGTTTGAAATTGAGTTAAGGTTCAAAGAAGACAGTTCTTTATTTGAAGAAGCAAAGATTTTGTTTTCTTGATATCCGTTATACTTTTTTTCTTCCGCATTTTCGTCTAATAGAAAGTTTGTCACAAAGTGTTTTTCTTTTTCATCTAAACCTTCAACATCTAAATACTGTTGCTCTACGGAATCCGGTTCTCCAAAGCTTTGATATCCAAAATGATTTAGTTCGCTTATGGCAGGAACAGAGTATAAAGTATCTTTTTTATTATTTAAAGGGTGCGGAATTTCATCTCTAAATGAAATACTTGGTTGGTTGCCTTTAAATGTTAAACTTAAATTACGCAGTTCATTAACTGATTCTTTCAGAAATTTTAATTTGTCTATCTTTTGTTTTTTATCTTTTAAAATTTGTGGTTCTTGATCTTCTCCACTTACTTCTAAACTATTTTTCTCTGATTCACTAGTACCACCACTAGTACCACCACTGCTAACGCTCTCGCCACTTGCGTTATCTGTTCCTGAATCGTTTTCAATATATTTGTTATAAGAAGAATTGAAGTTGTTCTCTAATACTTTTAAATGAGGATTTTTTTCTAAATATTTAATAGCTTTCTTATTGATTAAAGAGCTTGCTTCTTTCCTTCCAATCAAAAAGTTAATTTTATTTTTCTCAGAAATCAAAGTGTTTATCGTTTTAAAATGCTGAGAACCAATATCAGTAATGTTTGAATAATTCATTTTCTTCTTTATTTCATTCAACGTATCCGATTTTAAAGTACCTATTTTATGTTTTAAACCTTCAAGTGTTCTTCGAGCAATAGAGTATCTTTGGTGTTTGCTTGGTGGCATAAGAAACTTATTTTTTGACTTGAGATACTTGCCGTAAAAATACTTTTTAGCTTTAGAATAAACATTGCTTTTATGTTGCATTTGATCTTTACTTTTTATTAATTTAGTTTTTTGAACTGTTTTCTTCCTTTTAGAGGAGTAGTTACGCCCATTCGTAACTCGGGGCCACATTATAGCATTAACTGAAGGAGAAAAACGTGATAAATTTTTGTCTATGGTTCTAAGGCTTGCTCTTTTCGTTAAATTCGCTAAAAGTGCTTTTATAAATTTTTTTTTTCCATTATCGCCAATTGATTCGTTTTTCTTAAGATGATCAAAAGATAATAATGACCTTAATGCTGATGATGGTAACAACCGTAATGATGCAAACATACTACGTACATCTTTGTTATTATGATCCTTGAGAGACGTGACTTTAGTAGCATCTCCTCCATTTTTTTCTGTGGTATTTATTTTGACATCTGCGCTATTTATGGCTAAAGGTGTTTTTGATATAGTTGATGAATTTGAAATTATAGGTTGAGCTGTTTTAAGTTCAATAACTCCATGTGAATTAAAATCAGATTCAGAACGCTCTTTGATCTTTTTTTCGTCATCAAATAACTTTAAAGATGTTTTTTTTTGCTTTATAAGAAAGTTGTAATCATCTTTATCAGTGTTAACTTCCAAGTTTGATTTTAGAGTTTCTTTTGCGTTAGTTATATTTGATTGCTGTTGATCTTTTTCATGTTGTTTTTGGTCTGAAACAACACCCATTATTGGTCCTTCGTTTTTGTTTTGATGTTCTGTTTTATTGTTAACGGTTTCCAATGGTTTTTGTGAGTTGCTTTCAGTTTCGCGAATGCTTTCCTTGTTATTTCCCAGTTCATTTTCCTTGTTAGTTCCCAGTTCATTTTCTAGATTTAAATCAGTAGTTTCAGGAAAGGATTCGGATCTGTTTTTTAGGGGATTTACTTGTTCACTTTTTATCGAGTTGGGTATTTTAAATCCAGAACTTGCAAAAACCTCACTACTACGTTGATCAATATGTGATTTAACTAATTGTATGTCTTCTTTTGTTTCTTTGGGTTGATCGTAGAATTCTGACTTCAAATTTTCGATACTTCCTCTCTCTTTGGCAAACTTACTGTTTTCTTTTTCAAGAATATTTTTTAGCAACTTGTCAAAGTCAATTTCATGTAATTTTAATACTAGTATCCCATGATCCTCGTCATTTTTTCCTCTCTTCTTTGGGCGCCAATTACTTAAATTTAGTACACCTGATGGTTTTTTCTTAATCCGTTTTAAATGTGTTGATTTATTTTCGTCAGGAAGAACATTGATTGTTTTCTCTCTAATAAATGCGTTCTCTACAAAATTTGCCGAATTTGTGTTGTTTTTTATATCAAGATCTTCAGTTGGGCTGTCAGATGTTATGATTAAGGAATACTTTTTTGAGGGAGAATAAGGGTTTTCAGGTATGTTTTGAACCGAGCTGTATGCTTTAGATCTTTTATGAAGTTCTAGATAAAGAAAATAACATTGATTAATTATTTATGCTTTATTAGTTGAAAAAAGAAAAAAAAAAGTTTTGATAAATATTATTAAAAATATGTATTAAAAATATGTATTAAAAATATGTATTAAAAATATGTATTAAAAATTAAACAAAATAGTAAAAACAATTAGAAATTTTACCTTTAATCTCATGCCTTTTTGATTTTCTTTGACTAATAAGCTGACTGAAATTCTTTGCGTAATGAGAATGTATAAGTAACGAAATAAAAAGAAGAAAAAATTTCATAATCAACCTTACATCACTTCTAAAATAACGTTTTTTACTCCATTTTTATAGAAAAATACATCCCGAGCATTTTGTCCAAAAACAATACAAAAACAATAATGTTAGGTTTTGTTAGAAAAAAAAATGAAGTAAATTTTAGTTAATTAGTCGAATTATATTTTAGTTAATTACAGCGTTTTGATAATTACTGCGTTAGCGACTTCTGTTTGAGCGCATGATCGCCCACCTCTTCTTCAGCACTCAAAAACAAGATAACATTTTTTAAATTGTGAAAAACAGTAAATAATAGTAATTAATCCTAATAAGTAGTTAATAACCTTTTGATAAAAATAATCAATATTAAAAAAAACTTTTTAAAACAAAAAAAAAACAAGTTTTTACTCAAAATAAATAATATAACATTAAGTAAAGTAAGTATAACAGAAGTAAAAATAATTACTATATTATATGCAAAAGTACTACATTATGCTTTAGCATTTGAATTCATTCCTTAAATTATATATTAATTGTATAATGTATAAGTAATATATAGTAAACCTTAAATTAATGAATAATTCTTTAATTAAACATCTGTTTATATTATTTTACTATAAAATTACAATATAGGGTATTTGCATATATATATATATTATATATATTACTTATACATTATACAATTAATATATAATTTAAGGATATATAATATATATATATATATATATATTATATATATATATATATATATATATGGCCCCCGGCGGCGCGGGGCGATGTATATATATGTAAATATGCCTATGTATATTTTTTTGTATATGACTTCTAAAAACTAAATTTAATGCATTTCATGTCATTACCACTAACAGTGTCCACTCTTGTTAATATTATTCTTGTAAAAAATGCTGCTAGCTGATGTACTCGTTTTATAGCAATTTTCTTGAATGAAAACTCGATTTGATTTTCAAGTTTATCTTGATTTTCAGCTTGCCAGTTTTTATTGTGCACCAATCTTTTAAGTTCAGACCAAAAATCTTCAATTGCGCTGTAAAATACCATCTTTTTGATCAATTGATTTTTTAAGACAAATCATCTGATTTTTAGACTCTATATATAGATAATATTATTAATATATATATATATATATATATATATAGATAATATTATAAAAAGAATAGTTGGAAGTGGTCCTATATATAGGATCACTTCCAACTATTTTTTTTATAATATTATCTATATATATATATATATATATATATATATATATATATATATATATATATATATATATATATATTAATAATATTATTTATATATAGAGTCTAAAAATCAGATGATTTGTCTTAAAAAATTAATTGATCAAAAAGATGGTATTTTACAGCGCAATTGAAGATTTTTAGATTATCTCTCTATAGATTATATTATTAATATAATATATATATATATATATATATATATATATATATATACATATATATATATATATATATATATATATACATATATATATATATATATATATATATATATATATATATATATATATATATATATATATATATATATATATATATATATATATATATATATATATATATATATATATATATATATATATATAGATAATATTATAAAAAGAATAGTTGGAAGTGGTCCAATATATAGGATCACTTCCAACTATTCTTTCTATAATATCATACTATACATTGTAAACTTTTTGATGTTTTTCATTCAAAAGTGATTTACATCAAAACTTTTATTCTCATCTTGATAAAAATCCAAAAATGTGTATACTCGTTTTTTAAGCGAATATTTGTCATATGCCTTTTATTTCATTTTTAAATACAAGTGAATAATTTTTTTTTAACAATAAATTACAAATTTAACTCTTTTATACATATGTATTAAAGAGTTAAACTTGTAACTAAATAGAAGTGATTGCAAGTATATTAAAGTATTCTTTTATTATATATATATATATATATATATATATATATATATATATATATATATATATATATATATATATATATATATATATATATATATATATTCATATATATATATATATATATATATATATATATATATTTATATATATATATATATATATATATATATATATATATATATATATATATATATATATATGTATATATATATACAAAATATATACATATATGTATATACATATGCATATATATATATATTATATGTATATATATATATATATCTATACATATATATATACATTTACATACATATACATATATATGTATATGCCCCTGTATATACATATACAGGGTCGCCGAAAGTGAGGGGAAAAAAGGGCACATGTAACTTGGGCGCAAAAATAATAGGGGCGCCAGAAGACGAAAGACAAAAAAAAACTTAATGAGATTTTAATAACAAAATAATAAAAATATTTATTTTTATTAATAAGGTATAAAATAAATTTACTTGGTGATGCACATAGCAATTAACTTTGCTTTATTTATATTATCAAAGAATTATAGTTTTAAATGATTTATCTCTTTTTGTTGGATGGGGCACCATATACAGCCAAGCTCTCAATGTTTAGCTATGACACTAGTACTAAGGGACTATCCTTTGCACATTATCAACAATAACATTAAGGAAGCACTTTGTAAAACGCAACATGAACTCATCAACAACAGGCAAGCGGAGGAAAGCTAAATCTTATCCAAATAAAACATTTTATTGTTAAAGATAAGCTTTGTCTATTTCAGAGAAAAATCTGTGGACATTCCTTTAGAATCAGTTCTTACATCACTTCTATTTGTGTTCTTCATCAATGACTGACTAGAATGCATTTATAACCATACCAAGTTATACACCAATCATGGCAACATCACATGAGTTACCAATGTCAATTAATTTCTTATGATTATGAAAAACTGCAAGCAAACATCAACAGCACTGTAAATTGTTTGCACATCTGTCTTGTAAACTTTAATGTCGAGAAGTGCAAAGTAACGTTGGTTGTTGCAAAAGCTAATTAATAATTCCATAGCTGACATGCATTGAGCAAGATCTTGCAGAACTAATATCCAACAACCTCAAAGTCAATGTACAAGTGGGAGCAGCAGCTTGGGTAGACAATAAAATGCTTGGTTTTCTATAGAAGTTATTTCGGTGTCGGAGGTGTCTAGCTATGAAAAAAAAAACTGTATCATCTGTACATAAAGTAACGCATCTAAAGTTTTGTGTGCAAACCTGGTCATCGCTTCTTGAAAATTGCTCTACTCAAACGTGTCCAGCAACGCGCAATATCGTTATTTAAACATTTTAATTACAATCAAAAACTAAAAATACTCGGCTTAAATACACTCGAAGAACGCGGTGACCTCATACTGCAATAAAAAATTGCTTGTCATTTATAATAGGTTGAACTAAATATTAAGCAACTACCTTTCTTATCAAACTCAGCATATATATTAAGAAAAAATGACCTGTTTAAAACTCCAATTAATCAAAGGTTATCCAGAACGTCAGCACTTTTTTACAAACCGTATTGCAAATCGTTAAAAAGAACTAGTGCAGGATGTAATTGATCCACCTAAAGTAAACACCTAAAGTAAACTCTTTTAAAAAGTATGTTTATGATGTTACTTTAGATGCAGCAATGTCAATTGTTTTACTTCATTAAACAAAATCATTGAAAAAACAAGTTGATACTAAAAATAAAGCAATTGTTTTTTATTAGTAAGTATTGTAACTTGTAACTTGATACAGCATTTGTGGGGGTCCTAAAACTGTAAAATAGAACTCTATTGCGCCATTCTAAAAATCATTTCTTTTAATATTTATAGTTAATTTTAAAAAGATTTATAAAAGTATAATACAAGGAGATCCCATTTCGATACAAAGCCATTATTTATTGACGCTTAAGAATGGCTTTTAAAAAGATATATTATCTGGTCTTCTGAAATGTGATTTGGAGCATTGGATGCAATATTAATTTGTGTATATTTCAAATAAAAATATGCCTTTTCTTTATGTTTTATACTTTTTGTTTACTTTTTTAATGATGCTCGCAGTGTGTATCAAGGTACCCCATGGGTGGAGTACCTTAATACACACTGTATAATTTTGGGTATAAATTCATTCTACAAATTAAACCAATCGCTTAAAAAAAAGGTGTATTAAAAAATTTGTTACGAAGCAAAAACCAAAAGTGTGTCATCGTGCCCCACTCTCCCCTACTGTTTTTTTTTTGTTTTTGTTTTGTTTTTTTGAATATGAATAAAAGATATCTATAGAGTAAAAAGTATCTATAAAGATTTGAAAAATATGTTGTAAACGAATTCAAATCAAATTGCTATAAAAACTTTACTAATACTTTACTAGGATTTTTCATGGAGGTATAAGAGAAAATTTTAACAGAGAAATCAAATAGACTTTTTAATTTAGATGTAAATGAACTATCCAGTATTTTCAATGCAGTTGATTGTATTTATTAATAAGTTTTGCCCAAAATGGAAAAGACAAAAAAAATAATCAGTTTCGAGTTTTTTTAAAAATGATTATAATAAAGTATTGATAATTTTTTTATATATAAAATTTTAATAATGTTGAAAAGCACAAAACTGTTTGCATTTCGATTAAAAAAAAGTCATTTAAACTCTGAAGTGAAGTCTGGAATAACTAATCTAGAATAATTATACATTCAACTAATTTCAGACAAAACTTAAAAAGGTTCGTTTAAATTATAGTATCAACTTAGGGATCGTCCATAAATTACGTAACGCAAAGTTTCACAAAAAACAAAACAAAAAAATATCAAAAGTTTTCCCTCGCAGAGTCTTAATTTAAATAAACAATCAAAATAGGAAATTAAGTTATATGAAAATCGCCGCGTAAAAGAGCCTAATATCTCCTACTCGTGTTCTAAAAATATTTTTTGCGTTGCGTAGTTTGTGGACGATCCCTTAGGCGTTAATCCTTTGAAAATAACCCAAGCAACTAAGTACGCAAACAAAAGTTAAGAAGTTTTCTGATACTAAAATACTTAAAAAAAAGAATAACTTATGTAAATGTTTTTTATGATCACTTTGCTTTTTTGATTCCGTTATAACCGTAATCGAGAATAAATTTGACCAACCTAATTTTGAAGCACGAACGACAATGAAATTGTTTTTGCCAAAAGTAATTGAAAAGAGCTATGTTAAAAATAAATTAAAACTT